GCCCAAAATAATTGCCCGCCCCTGCTGTAAAGCCTGGTTCTAGCTGTGTGTATACAAAGCTGCATATAGCGTTGCCATAAAACCAGAAAAAAGTTCTTACCTATGTAAGTTATTTATCTTCGTTTGTTTCTTGAATTCTGTACTTATGCTTGCTATGCACACTTAACAATGTGCCAATATGTTAATAGCTTCTAAAATACAAATAAGGTCTATATGAATAATGCATAAGATATAAAATAAATCATTATTTTATACTTGCAAAAAAGTCTAAAAAGAAAAAAAAATGACCTAGATTAGGGGTCAGCAACATACAGGTATGTTTGTAGCATTTTGATGGTGGGGGGACTTTGCCTGCACCCACATTTGGGTGTTGGGGCTGATTGGCTGGAAGCTGTGCCTGTGCTGGGTTCTTTTGGCCTATGGCTCTGAAAAGTTGCTGAATGCTAACCCATAGAAGCAGCTGCTAGTAAAGATGAATCAGTTGGTCTCTGTTGCTCTTTCAGTGTCTTTTTAATATATGGGGTTCTTCAGGTATCAGGCCACTGGTTGCTCCTACAGAGAAGTTTTGCTTCACTCTTTGAACAAAGAAGAGTTAGTCCCTGCTGAAACAGGAATTTGGCAGACTGATTATACCACTTAACTGAATGCTGGACTACGAGATGACACAGCATCTTATAGTTAAAATATACGTATTCTTACTGTGTATTAAGTTTCTTTTGTCTTTTTGTTTCTTAGGGATTATAAAATACTATATCACAGAGATGATTATTCAGCCATCAGAGAAAAGATTTGTCATGATACCACGGTATTAAATTTTAATTATGCACTCAGTCTTATTACTTGAAGAATACTGTCAACTGATAAAAATGTAACTTGAATAGTAATTTTATTATATTTTATTAATAAATATTATGCTGATAAAATATTTGCACAGTTATAATCACAAACTCAGGAAATAGTAAAGCAATATTAATTCACTGATATTGGGCCAGAGGTGGACAACCAATTTGATCAAGGACTTTGAAAGCAAGTCATATGAGGAGATGCTGAAGGAGCTAGGCATGTTCAGATTGCAGAAAAGGTACTTAAGAGGGGACATGATGGCAATCCTCAAATACTTGAAGGGCTGCCATAAAAAAGAGGAAAAGCACCTTTTCTCTCTTGCTGCAGAGAAGAGGACACAGACCAATGGCTTGAAGTTGCAGCAAATAAGTTTAAATTGCATATCTGGAAAAAAATCTTTATTGTTGCAATAATGAGACAGTGGAATAGACTGCCGAGAGAAGTTGTGCACTCTCCATCACTGGAGGTGTTCAAGAAGAGATTGGACAGCCCCTGGTTGGAGATGATCTAGGCATAGCTATGCTTATGTTCTGTTATGCTTCTGGGCTTTGCTAATTTCCTCTGCCCCTGCCTCTGCTGCTATATGTGTTGGAATGGTTTTCAAGTCTACTTCAGAGGCATTGGGTATTGGCTACAGCCAAGCTAGTGGAGGGTCTTGCCCCTCCACTCAGGGTTAGACAGCGTGCCAGATTTGGGGGCAGATCGATATGAACCATGTTGATTTTTGCCTTCCTCTATAGCAGGGGGCATGCCTTCTACCTGGGATCTGTTGAGCATTTAGGCCCTGTGTAGATGAAATGAGAGGCGTGTATGCACGACACTTTAAAGCAGGCTAAATGCTTTTGCACCGCTTTAATGGTGTTGGTGTTTTCACGCCTCGGCAGCATATTGCGCATTAATTCCAGCCACTGTAGGAAGTTTGGCGGCGTAATTCACCGTAAATGACTTGGGGCACAGCAAACCAAAACTCCTTGGAGGAGTTTTGGTTTGCTGCCTCTACAGCTGCGTAGCGAAGCACCAGGCTCCATGATTTGCTAAGTAGACTGAGTGATTTCAAATAGGACTCCTTAGTGTTAAAAACATTATGATCTTTTGTAGTCTTTCTGAGTTCTTTGCAACACAGAAATTGCTTTGTTATTTTTCTATAGTCAAGAAAAAAGTTAAAGCTGAGTTGGCATTTTCTGAGGGGTTCACTGAATCTAAAAAGGTTGAGAACCACTGATATGCCCTTCTACTGTTTTGCTTTTATATAAAAGTAATCTTGCAGGGTAATGTGTATTGCCAGGGCTATAGGTCTTTCCTTGCAACAGTAGGTATTAGATTGTGTTAAATGCAAAATATTAGATTAGTGAACCATGGACCTGTTCAAGCATGACAATTCTTGCTAAGCAAGAAAGGGAAAATACTTCATCTCTTTGGGGGAAGGTTGTGGATTCAGCATTTTTCTCTTCATAGAGTCAATATGGGTATAGTGATCACAAGTAAAATTGACACTAAGGAAAATTCAGACATCAGATATTTAAGGTTTAGCTTCACTTACTGGGCATTAGCTTATTTTGCAAATCATTGTTATTATAAAAACAAATTATAAAGATTGCTTTATTCTAAAACAGGTCTCAGTTTGTACAGAGCATTATAGCTCAGTGTCTTGTGGAACTGTCCTCTTCTAGAAGCACATTTAGGTTCAGCATACAAGGGCGTGATGGAAAGGTCTACATCTTGGTAAGACATTTTTAATTTTATAGAAAAGTGTTTCATGTGTTTGTATTCATCATGTTTATTTATTGTTTATATTATCCTTTTTATGTGACTAAAGTTAATCAGATAATTCAGAGGATTTTTCAGATTATGCTTTTATGCATCTCACCCAATGCTGTTTTTGTTTGATTTTGAGCTTGCTACAGTGCAATGTCTTAAATCTTTTTACTCAAAATAAAAACAAAACAAAACCTCATAAGAATGTCAAGTAGTCTAAAGCACCAAATAAACCATGTGTTATCTTTGACTGTACAAGCTTGAGGGCATTGAAAATATTCCTTAGTACCAGATTTACCAATCTGGTAGATTTAGGTACACTTCTCTTCCTGGAAATGTCAAAAGTAGCTTAGATTTTTTTCTGCAGTTTCTGGGACATGGCTACTTATCCTCCTTCCAGGTAATCTTGTCTTTTGCAGAAAGACAGATGTTCAGTGCCCCACCTTACTAGTATTGTTTTTTTTTTTTAAACTTGATTTAAACCATCAGCAAACATTTTTTTCCTTCTCTATTTCCCCTAGAGAGGACCAATAACTCTGTGCTGTACCACCCTCGGGGTCCTGCCACAGAGCCAATTCCCCAACCAGCAGGTTGTGGTGAGGTCAAGGCCGTAGTTAGCTAGTTTTGCCAAGAGGTGATCATGGGATACCAGATCAAAGGCCTTTTTGAAGTCAAGATATACAACATCAATCTCTTTCCCCTTGTCCAGGTGATAGGTCACCTGGTCGTAAAAGGAAATGACATTGGTCAAGCAAGACCTACCTGCAACAAACCCGTGCTGGGTATCCCTCAGAATATTGCTGTCAGCTAGCCTGTATAGGATGATCTCTTTGATAATTTTTTCCAAGACCTTCCCCAGGATAGAGGTCATACTGATGGGTCTGTAGTTTGCTGGATCCACTTTCTTCCCTTTTTTGAAGATGGGCACCACATTGGCCTTCTTCCAATTGTCAGGCACTTCACCAGAACACCAGGAGTTCTCAAAGATCCATGCCAGGGGCTGAGCTATGATGTCTGCCAGCTCTTTGAGTACCCTTGGGTGTAAACCATCAGGGCTGGCTGACTTGAAGGTATCCAGCCTGTCAAGGTGTTCCTTCACAGGGGCAGCTTTGATGGATGGTAAGGAATCTCCCTCACCCGGGCCTCCCTGTCCTGCAATGGGCAGGGTTGTCCCATGGCACTGGTGAAAAACTGATGCAAAGTACCCATTTAGCAAGTTTGCTTTTTCCTGGGCATCTGTTGTCAGTTGTCCCATCTGGTTTAGCAGGGGTCCAATGTTGCCCTTGCTTTTCCTCCGGCTCCCCACATATCTAAAAAAGGACTTTTTATTGTCCTTGATATTTGGAGCTAGCTGGAGTTCCATCACAGCCTTGGCTTTCCTGGTTTACTCTCTGCAGGTCCAGACCAGAGCAGAGTATTCCTCCTTGGTGGTGGTTCCAGTCCTCCATCCTTTGTAGGTCTTCCTTTTAAGACGCATGAGGTCTGCTAGTTCCCTGGAGAGCCAAGGGGGCTGCTGTGCCCTTTTGCTGCCTTTCCTCTGAGACGGGATAGACTTTGCTTGCGCATCCAGGATTTCTCCCTTGAGGAACAACCGCTCATCCTGAACTCCCCTCCCCTTTGGGTTGTGGCCCTTTAGGGCCTCACTGACAAGCCTCCTGAGCTTGTCAAAGTCAGCTTTCCTGAAGTCGAGAACTTCTGTATTGCTGACTAAGTTGCCAGCTTTATGACGGATGGTGAAGGTGATCAGCTTGTGGTCACTGTCACCCAGCTTCCCTTCAATCATTAGGTCGCTGATTAGGTCATCCCCGGTTTCTAGTACCAGGCTGAGCAGCGCTTTACCTCTCATTGGCCCATAGACTTCCTGCGTCAGATAGAGGTCATCCATGAACGAGAGAAAGCTTTGCGCCCACTTGGATTTGGCTGAGTGCTCCTCCCACGAGATGTCTGGGTAGTTAAAGTCTCCCATGTCAACCATACATTGGGAGCGCGCGGCCTCAGCCAATTCCGTGGCAAACTTCTGGTCGAGGTCTTGATCCTGGGTAGGAGGTATGTAGTAGACTCCCACCATAGTATCCCCAGTGCCGTGTTCTCCATGGATTTTAACCCAAAGGGTCTCAAGTCCACCGTGGGTGCCAATGTTGGCTTGCAGGGATGTGTAGCTTTGCTTGACATAGAGAGCTACGCCCCCATCCCTTTAGTCCACTCGATCCCTCCTGTACAGGGTATAGCCGTCTATACCTGTGGCCCAGTCATGGGTGGAGTCCCACCTAGTTCCTCCTGTTTGTTCCCCAAGCTCCTGGCACTTGTGTATAGGCATGCAAGTGTCCCCTTGGGGGGCCCTTGCCTTGCCTACAGTTTGTTCCAGGGCTGGGGCAGGGGTGGGCTCCCTTAAGTGCCTTGGTCTGCTGGCTTTGCAAGGGTTGCTCAGTGGGCCAGCAGTGGCAGTAGTCCACCCATCCCCCGGCGAGCTTAGTTTAAAGCCCGGTGGAGCAGGTCAGCCAATCTGGCTGAGAAGAGCCTCCTCACCAGCGGACAGAGGTGGAGGCCGTCCCTTCCCAGCAGCTCACTGCCTCTCTCACCAAAGAGCGGGCTGTGGTCATGGAAGCCAAAGCCTTCCTGATGACACCAGTGCCGCAGTCTTTGGTTAACTACCTGGATCCTCCTCTCCCTCTGTAGCTTGTAGCCTGAGACTGGGAGGATTGAAGAAAACTCCGCCTGTGCCCCCGGACCCTTTAGACCTGCTCCCAAATTCCTGTAGTGCCTCATGACCCGGCTGGGAGCGCTCTGAGCAGTGTCATTGGTGCCCACATGGATGAGGAGCATGGGATAGTGTTCAGTGGGCTGGAGGAGCTTAGGGATCTTCTCCGCAATGTCCCGAATACGGGCTCCTGGGAAGTAGCAAACTTCCCGGGCTAAGGGGTCAGGACAGCAGACTCCCTCAGTCCCCCTCAGGATGGAGTCTCCCACAACAAACACTTTGCTTTTTGTCTTGGGGAGAGCGGGGGCCGTAGCTATAGTAGAGCCTGAGTTGCCTGCGGGAGCTGGCAACTCAACAGGCTCTGCTGGGGCTGCAAGAGGTTCATACCTGCTGCAAAGCTCCAGCGGGGCAGGGGCCTTGGGGCCCTTGACCACCTTGGTCCATCCCCTGGGCTGGACAGAATGGGAGGTTCCTGAGTCCTCTCTTGTCCTGGAGGGAGACTGTGGTCTACCCTCTGCCTCCCGGGGGAGAAGGGCCTGGCAGTAGGAGTCAATCTCCTGCTCATAGTCCCTAATGGCATGCAATCTCTGGACTGCGGCCTGGAGCTCCTCCAGCTGGTGCGGCAGAGACCCCAGTAGGGAGCAGACCCCACAAGGGGAGGTGGCCATGCTCCCGGGCCTCAGAGCCTGAAAAAGTGACAGGCAGCCCCCCGCAGCCGAGAGCCAGAGGCTCTGTCTGCGTGGAGCCTGGAACCATGGGCTCTGTCTGGGTGGAGACCTCTGAGGCGCCAGAGGGGGGCCGCAGGCCCCGAGGGGACCCTCGGGGTGTGGCGTGTGCCCATCTGTGTCATGCCACTGGTGGGGTGGCTATGGCTGGGACTGTCTACTCTGGGGGGCTCACAGGCAGGGCCTTGGGCCCTCCCTCACACCCTCCTGTGCAAACTCCTGCGCTAACTCACGCGCCAGACCCAGGAGCGCGCCTGTTTGCATGGCCTATTCACGAGGCTCCAGTTGCGCAGCTCCCTGGGGGGCTGGGCGAAGTAGGAGCTGGCGGGGGGCGTGGGGGTGTGACCCTCTTCGGCCCTCTTAACCCGCTCCCAGCTGACTAGGTCCCTCCCTCCATGGGCCCTTGCTTACCTGTGGGCAGGCCGGGGCTTGTCGGGGTCCTGCGGTCTCTGCTAGGGTCCCTGGGCTCACGGGGCACAGCAGGCTTACACCCGTGCGTCTCGCACCGGAGCCGGGACACTAATGAGGCTTCTGCCGTTGCCGGCCCTTTTTAAACTGCACACGTGCAGAAGGGCCGGCCAGTGCCCCGCTGTTTTTGGCGAGCTAAGGGGGGAAGGAACAGGTGGGTACCTCCCCCCTAACCTGGCTTGCACGCCTGCAGCTGGGTCATGCGGCTCCCTGTGGGGCTGGGCCAAGTAGGAGCCGGGGGGGGGGGCGTGACCCTCCTCGGCCCTTTTAGCCTGCTCCCAGCTGACTAGGTCCCTCCATGGGCCCCTACTTACCTGCGGACAGGCCGGGGCTCGTTGGGGGTCCTGGGGTCTCTGCTGGGGTCCCTAGGCTTATGGGGGTACAGTGGCCTTAAACCCACATGTCTCACACCAGAGCCAGGACACTGATAGATTAGATAGTTAAGTAAATATGGTACCTTGATATCTAAGTGCATAATATATGTGAAGAGAGTTGCATTAATTTCTCCTAGACCAGCAACAGTGGAAGAAATAAAATAACTAATGCTGGAAAAAAATGAAATGTTGACAAGTAAATAGTGCAGGTCTAAAATATGCAAAAATTCCTTACAGTTAATAGCATCTTTTCTGCTAGGTCCTCATCCTGTTGATTATATCTTGCATGCTCAAAGATCAATATAAACCTGTTGGTTGGGATTGCTGTAAGATGAGATGTACCTTGACCAAGTGATAGAATTGTGTAGACAGGATCTACAAACTGTCAGTTTGTAATAGAATCACGTATCAAATTAATCCAACTGTTGAATTAAATGGATTAGTTATTTCTAAAAGTTATTTGCAAAAGTGAAAGGAATAGGCTGAAGTTGACTGCATATCCTAGAGCTGCTATTCACTTTCTGAACAGATTCTTGGAAAAGAATCTTTTTGACAGATAATCCTTTTGCAAGTAAAATACTTGAATTAGTGAGAGCTAGGCTCAGTACAATTAATTTGTATATAAAATATGTCTCATCTTTTCTTATCTCCTCCGGAGACAGCTCTGACTGTAAGTCATTCCTCCTTTGCAGCCATGCTACAGTACTTTCTGAGCCTCTGACAAATTGTGACAATTGTACTCAGCTGTATTGAATAGTAAGTGCTATTCAGAATGAACAAATCACCAAACAATATTTGTTGTCATAATCTGAGGTTACCCAGGTTTTCAGAAGCAAAAGACTACTCCTTAATTCAGTAATTCTCAGCCAGGATGCTGTAAGATCCTTTTAAGGGTGCCATTGGGTTCTATGCAACATTACCACTGTTAGGTGTGCCAACATCTACATGTGACTCACAAGATATACTCTGAGATTTCAGATAAGAATCCATTCTAAAAAGTTCTGACCTGTTGTGATCTTTTTGAGTTTCTTGCAACAAAAGAATTACTGTATCTTTTCATAGTTAAGAAACAGATGAAAGCTAAGAGCTGGCATTTTCCTAGCAGTGCCTTAAATCTAAGGAGCAGTGCCTTGATTCTAAAAAGTTTGAGAATGACTGACTACCTCAACTAAATGCACCATCAAACTCATGGTTTTCTATAGAAGAAATGTTGTTTAACAATCAAAAGATCATCAAGACCATCAAGGTGAATATTAAATCATGTACAAAAAGAATCCTATTAAAATTAGTTGTCAATTCAAACAGCAATTTAAGTCTTTGAGGAAAAACAATTGAAAATCCTTAAAGGACAGTGCAAAGTAATATGTTTAATGAGTAACATACAAAGAAAACAGAAATAATATCTTTAAAAAGAGGAAAAAATCTATTAGGAAAACTTATGAAAATTAATTGTCTTTTGGTAACTGAAGTCATCCTACTGCCATGGCCAGCAAATAAAAAAAAAAAAAGGGAGAGAGACCTGAATGGTTTTGTATAGCTTCCAGTACAAAAGAACCTTTATCCTGATAAGGACCTGGGATTAAATGAAATATGAGGATCATGAATAATATAGTGCAAAAATCAGATTTCTCAAAACTCTTCATTAATAGAGACTGTCAGCATTTTTGTGCCAAGTTAGTGTTAGAGAACACTGATTCCCATTATCAGCCATGAATTAGTATTATTAATCCAAATTAAGTTTGGCTAGAGACCATGTTACTCTTTGTAATTGGGCCCCTATTAGCTTTAATAAACAGTGATTGATGGCCATTCTTTCTGTGCCTCAGCTTCATCCAGTCTAAGCTACCATTATATCTTTCTCTGTTCCAAAACTCCCATTGCTTGCTTCTTCTGATAGGCAGTCTCTCACTTCCATTCATTTCCTCAAGATCTGAGTATTCAACACGTGTACGCGATACATCACTGAAAAGTAAAAAGAACAATCAACTATTTGTTACTGGAACAGAAGATTTGGGAGTGTTTCCTTTTTTTTCTAGCAACGATCATTCTTGAGGTTCTATCACAAAGAAACATAGGTACACAATTACAATACTCTTAATACCAGTAATAAATCCTCCAGCATTTAGTTAAAAAAAACTCCAAAATCTGTTTGATCTTCACTGGAAACTTGTCTACACTGAAAAAAATTAACATAAGCTATATTAGTTTGCATCCATTAACAGTTTGTTAAAAACTAGTTTTATCACATGCTAGTAAAAAACAAAGCAATATAAATATATGGTCTTAATGTCATCTCCTCATAACGTATCACACCAAAGGCTGGAGTAACAGAACAAGTCTGAACTGATGTTGTATTCTGTAATTAAAATATTTCTTTATCTTCAGATGTGGCTTTTAAATGTTGACACGTTATTGGTGGAGTCTCTGGGAAATTCAGCTCCTAGCAATGTTTTTACATTGTTTGAAGATAGTTTGAGGTCTCATGCCAAATCATCAGGCAATTGGAATGCTGTCAAAGTTCTTTACCATCCCTGCATTAAAAACAGGAATAAGGAGTAAGTATCTTCTCTTTGTATTTTAAGTTATATTCCTTTGGGCCCTGCAGGCAAATTTTAAATCCAATGGAGTGAATTTTCACAGCATAGTGTTTTTCAGTAATTTGTCTCTCTGAAAGCCAGTTAGAACCTGGGAGCTAAGCTGCTGCCCAACTTATTGAAAAGTTAAGGTCCAGAGTTACATTACCCTTACAGCTATAATAGCTAAGTTACATTAAGGTTACAAAATGTTTTAATGCTTTTGGATATAACACTTTCCCTTTTCTTTTTAATTTTTTTTATTGAATCCAACCCATCAAATGAGATTCAACATCCAAAGATGCACTCAATCCCTCAAAACATACACACGGTCACACACATCCCCTATCAACACTACACACACACACACACACACACACACACACACACACACACACACACTAACGCATAAGAGGTGTTTTAGTTCAAAAGCGCACTGCCGCCATTTTCTGCGTGCTGACATGCATTTTGCCACTTATACACCTGCACGCAAAGCAGCACAGTATGTCAGCTCGCATGCAGAGCAGACTTGATTAACTGAGTCTGCTTCAACCCACTAGATCTCTGGTGCATCACGGGATGAAAAGGTATGTGTATAAATGCCCCTAGAGTCTAGACATATGTGTCACACCACTTTAGATTGATTTAAACTTCCTGGACCATTTCAAAAGCACATTGGGAAAATCAAATGCTATTTTGAAACAGTCCTCAGTGTCATGTGTCTGGTCCTCCAGGCATCCCAAACCCTTCCAGGGTAATGGGGCTGCTTTGGGATGCAACCAAAACTCTACTTTCCAAAGACTAATTACCTACAGAGAGAGCAGTCTGCATGGGCGGGAAAGCAGAAAGTCTCTGTCAGTTTCACTTCCCTTTTAGGAACCCTGAGTAGGGGTCCAGGCTTAATTTAGTTTGGGGGGGGGATTGCCAGGTTCTATGGAGATGGAGGAGACGGGCTTTGTGGCCCCCTATAACAGTAAACACCTTTCAGTTGTTGATTGATGTGGAGGGAAACAACCATTGCACAATGGGCACTTAATGGAACAGAATGGCTGTCATTTCCATGCTCAGTGTGAAGTGAATTAGCTCATTAACTGTTAATTATTTCTTCTCTTCTGTGCTGCATTCATGCAGCTAGTCCTGCCTTGCAGGTTCCACCCTGCACACACATCTCTATGCAATTGCTGACAATACAAAGATAAATGGATTACTATGGAAAATCCTCTTAAACCTGCATCATGAGGCAGAGATTGTGGGAAGGCCCCAAGCAGCCAGCCTCTGAAATGAAGGGACCCCTAACCACCCACTTCCACCTCCCTTCCCCCCCGCTCCCCACAACTCACCTGGTCATCCTCTGCCCAGATTCCATCACACAGAGTTTGATAGTGTGCAAGCAAGTACAGGCCTGGGCGGTGCAGGTGAGGCATGCAGGGAAACTGCAGCTGAGCAATGGGGTGGGTAAAGAGTGGTGGTGGCAGGCATCCCAGAAGCAGGGATCAAACAGTTGGCAAGCCCTTCGATCCCTACCCCACCCCAAATGAGCAAGGAACCCCACCGCCTAGGAACTGTAGCAGAGAGGTGAAATTTCAAGGTGGCTTTCCAAGGCATGGGTTGGAAAAGCAGGAGAGTTTTAGCAGAGGTGCAGGGGAATAGAGCACCTAGCTTTCAGGATCCACAAGCAGGGGGATATATAACACTTGGCAACCTCTCCATTCATACCCCCTTCCCCAATCTGGATCTTCCTCCTTGTGACCCTGTTGGGGAAAGGAGTGTGATGACCCACATGTCTACCTGTGTCACCTCACTACATGAAGTGTCCTTTGCTTATATTTTCTTCCTGCGGTTTAAAAATGTTTTCCCTAAAAGGGAGGAAACAAAGTCCCTCTTTTTTTGTCTGACACGATCTGATCAAAAAAAAAAAAAAAAAGGAATACCTGAAAAGAGAGGCTTCAATAATGGGGGATTTTCTTTCCTTCTAGAGATTCTCCTAGGTATATTTCTTGGGGCTCCACCTCCCCTACACCTTTTCCATATGCCAACCGTGATCTTAGGTGGGTGGTGCTTTTCAACATGGGATTAGTTGCATTCCCTGTGGCCGCCAGTCATAGGATACAAATGGTACTATCAAAATTAATCTTAAAGCATCAGAGTCCTGGATGGTCCCTGTCAGGGCCACGTCTGTCTGTCCAGTCTTGTTTCGTTAACAGTATTGACAGTGTTTAAGAGTCCAATCTTAACATAAATTCAACTCAATTATAACTCAGCCTTGGTGAAGGTATACATGCTTCAAGTGCCTTTAAACATTATGTAGAAAACAAGTAACAAAAATCAAAATAATCATCGTTCCACAGCGCCCTCTGTCAGTCACTAGGTGGGGTTCACACTTGCATATCCTCCTTAGGATGTTCCTCATTGGTCTGAGACTCTACTGTCACCTCAGTTCTTCAGGCTTACCAGCCTCGTGGATGCGAACTCCTTCGAGTTCTGTCTTGGCCAGCTCCCCTGTCAGACCCTAGGGCCCTTTATTCCTTACTTCAAGGCTCGCTGGACTCAGGGGTCTCTCCCT